CCAGGATCATGCATGTACCTGCTCACAACTCCAACTGCTTGTGAAATGTCAGGACACGTACACACCATTGCATACATCAAGCTCCCAACTGCATTAGCATATGGAACTTTTGCCATATGCACTCGTTCTTCATTAGTTTTAGGAGATAATTGAGAACTAAGTTTCAAATGAGAAGCCAATGGGATACTTACATGTTTGGTATTTTCATTCATGCCAAAACATTGTAATACATTTCTCAGATATTGCTTCTGTGTTAAACAAAGCTTCACTCTCTGTCTATCTCTGCTTATCTCCATACCAAGAATCTTCTTGGCCTCACCTAGATCTTTCATCTCAAACTCTTGATTCAATTGAGCCTTTAATTTGTCTATCTCCTTTTGACTCTTCGAAGCGATCAACATATCGTCAACGTACAAAAGAAGATAAATGAAATATCCATCTTTGAGCTTTTGCAAATACACACAATGATCATATTTGCTTCTAGTATACTTTTGCCTCCTCATAAAGCTATCAAATTGCTTGTACCACTGCCTCGGAGATTGCTTCAATCCATATAGCGATTTGTTCAGCTTACAAACTCATTTCTCACAACCATTATCTTTGTATCCTTATGGATGTGTCATATAGATCTCTTCTTCTAAATCACCGTGCAAGAAAGCCGTCTTTACATCAAGTTGAGCTAGCTCCAAATTCAACTGTGCTACCAAGGCCAACAATATTCTAATGGAGGAATGCTTCACAACAGGGGAAAATACTTCATTGTAGTCAATTCCCTCCTTTTGAGCGTATCCTTTAGCTACCAACCGTGCCTTGTAGTGAACATATTTCTTGTTATGAGATCCATTTTTCTTTACAAATACCCACTTGCATCCAATGGCTCTTTTACCTTTCGGTAATTGTGCCAGTTTCCAAGTGTCGTTCTTTTGGAGAGATTGCATTTCTTCATCCATGGTACTTTTCCACTTATCACTTTCCAAGCTTTGTATTGCTTCTTGGTAAGTGATAGGGATATCATCATCAACAACTGGAAGAGCATAGACCACCATATCAACAAATCGAGCAGGTCTACGAATTTCTCTCCTTGGCCTTGTAACTGCAAGTATTTCTGGTGTCTTTAATGGTTCTTGGGTTTGAACCTCTTCATCTTCTAATTCTTCTATTGGAGTTGAAGAATCAGCTGCATCAACTTCTGGGATCATCATCTACTGAAACTCCACCTGTTTTGGAGTATGCTCCACCTGCTGCGGAGTACTACTTGTTTGGACAGCTTCACTTGTTACCTTCTTTACTAGGGCAGATTTATCAAAGGTAACATCTCTGCTACAAATTATCTTCTTGGTGTCTAAACACCAAAGGCGGAATCCCTTCACTCCATGGGTGATTCCCATAAAGAGAGCCTTATTTGCTCTCGGATCAAGCTTGGATTCATTCACATGATAATAAGCAGTGGATCTAAATACATGTAAGGAATCATAATCAGTAGCAGGTTTTCCAGACCATACCTCCAATGGTGTTTTTCCTCCTATCGCTGATGACGGCAGACGATTAATGAGATGGCCAGCATATGTCACAGCCTCAGCCCAAAATGCCTTACCTAACCCAGCATTAGACAACATACATCGAACTTTCTCCAATAGTGTTCAATTCATACACTCTGTCACCCCATTCTGTTGTGGTGTATGTCTAACAGTGAAGTGTCGAACAATACCATACTCATGGTAAATGTCAAAGAATGGGTCACTTTTATATTCCCCTCCATTGTCCGTCCTAAGACGTTTGATCTTTCTACCAGTCTGGTTCTCGATCATATTTTTCCATTTCAGGAAAATTTGAAGCACTTCATCTTTAGACTTCATCGGATACACCCAAACTCTTCTGGAAAAGTCATCTATAAAAGTTACAAAATAATGGTTTTCTCCCAAAGACGATGTCTTTGAAGGACCCCATACATCTGAGTGAATATAATCTACAATACCTTTTGTATTATGTATAGTGGTGCCAAACTTCACTCTCTTCTGCTTTCCCAGAACACAATGCTCGTAAAAGTTCAATTTGTAAGCCTTTACACCTTTCAACAATCCTTTCTTTGCCAGAATTTGCAAGGATTTCTCTCCAGCATGTCCCAACGGCATATGTCACAACTGGGTTACGTCTAAATCATCACATCCGGAAGCTGCTGCAACTGCTCCAATAATTGTACTACCTTGGTAGTAATACAAATTATTTTTCCTGATGCTCTTCATCATCACAAGTGCGCCATATGTGACTTTTAAAACTCCATCTCTCATAGTGACTACTGAGCCTTTGGATTCTAAGGCTCCCGACGAGATGAGATTTTTCTTCAAACTGGGCACGTATCGGACATCCGTCAGAACTCTGGTTGATCCATCTTGATTCTTCAATCGAATTGAACCTATCCCAACAATTTTACAAGCATTGTCATTACCCATATAAACAACTCCTGCATTTAGTTCCACTAAATCGGAGAACCACTCCCGATTAGGGGACATATGATAGGTGCAACCCGAATCTAATATCCACTCATCGGAATGGAATGTTGTTGATGAAGCAACCAATGATATGTCAGAGTCATGTGCATCATGCTCTGCAACACATGCATCTGGAGCAGCTTTTCCTTTCTTCTTCAGCTTCGGACAATCTTTCTTCCAATGGCATTTCTCATGACAAAAGGCACATTCATCTTTTCCCAGTCTGGACTTCGACTTTGATCTCCCTCTCTACTTTGGCTTTTGACTTTTCGAGCGACCTCTTGCCACCATGGTCTCTGCTGCTTCGTACTTGCTCTCCTTCTTGGTTTTCTTCCTAAGTTCATAACTATACAAAGCATCAGTTACATCTTTAAGGGTAACATTATCCTTACCATGAAGTAACGTTGTCTTAAGGTGCTCAAATTCATCTGGAAGAGATGACAACAACATCAAAGCCAAATCTTCATCTTTGAGGGTTTCATCCATGCCCAATAAGTCTTCCACTAGCTCATTGAACGCAGTGATGTGTTCATTCATACTGGTGCCTGGTTGATAATCAAATCTGAACAATCTTTTCTTTATGTGGAGACGATTCTGAGAGCTTTTCTTCAGGAATTTTTCCTCCAAAGCTTTCCACATCTTACTTGCAGAAGTCTCGTTCTTGTAGCCATACTTCTGCTCCCTGGAAAGACAAGATTGAATCGTGCTGCACGCCAAATGATTGATTGTTCCCCATTCTTTCTCCTCCATATATTCAGGCTTTTCTTCCTCAATGGCGATGTCTAGACCTTGTTGGAATAAAGCGTCTAACACCTCGCCTTGCCACATGCCAAAATGACCGGATCCATCGAATAACTCCACCGAGAAATTTGCATTTGACATCACCCTCCTCACCGATCCAGATGAAGAGCTTGATGTCTCAATTGATCCGTATTTTGGCATTTTAATTCTAACGAACAATATTCAATATCACAAACTATATCTTTTCAGCAACGGAACCACCAGGATAACCTCAACCGAAGCTCTAATACCAATTATTGGGGAAAACGGGTTATTTCCCACACTAACGTAGTTTTAAAATTGACCTAAAATGTCAAGATTAAAATCACCAAAGGTTGCACAGCGGATAAACCTGTCAAACTATTGAATATTGAAACACAATGGAAAAGAACCGAATAAAAAATAATAAAGGAGAGAACACACCAAATTTACGAGGTTCGACGAGAATATCATCTACTCCTCGGGTACCACACCGGATGATAACTTCACTATATCGCCAATAATACAACAAATGAAATTCTTTGGAATTCCCAAAGTGGGAGAATGAAGAATACAAGAGGAAGAGAGAACTTGTTTTTGGGATGATTTATAATGGAAATACTTAGGCCTATTTATAGTTGAGTTTCAAGAACAATATGTTCAAAATTTGGCCACCTACCAAAGAATTTTCCAATGTGTACAAGTTAGCCGCCAAATATGAAATTCACATGTTCAAAGTTTAGCCACCAACCAAGATGAAATTTCCAATAAGTTGGCCACCAACCAAGATAAAATTTCCAACTTGTCAACTTAATTTCTAGACAAATCTAACAGTACTAAGTAATGAGCATGACTGTAACAAGCTTTGCCCAAACCTCAAATTTTATGCTTGTTGTACTGCTCCATTTAGAACTTGCAGGTTCATTTATATCCAATCTAACTGACAGTCATGACAAATTCACACCATAGACATGAAAACTGAGTCATATCAATAAAGATGTTCAAATTTTAGAGAGTAAACATGAAAACTGAAAACAGCTAAATTTTCCAAAATTGAAGATCAATTTGAAAGAACACCTCCACTGAAGTCCATGGCCAGAGTTCTTCCCTCATTTTTACCAAACTTCTTGTATAAGAAGCAACCCCAAAAACACATAAGTGCCACCAAAAGTAGTGCACCTACAGTTGCTGATGCACTAATGAGAAGTCTTCTAGAGTATTTATTTTTGCTACCTTGAGTTTGAGCTGCAAGAAAAAGATTGAAATACTTACCAAAATAACCTCCAAAATAAAACAATATATACAAGAACAAAGGTGAGAAACTTGTGAGGAATTCAGATTTGATGGAGAAAATTCTTCATATCCATATTTTTAACACTGAATAGAGCACCAAAAATAAAGAGTTATACCTTCTAAATGTATACAGCTTACCTGATCCAGATCCGAAATTTGTTATAGCTCCTTCATTGTCATTTTTGCATGATACATTGATTTGCCTTCCACATAAATCACGATTCCCAACAAAACTGTCAGAAAGATTTTAAACTGTTTAGCCTAATGATAGTACATCAATCTTCTTTGACTTTCCAGAAGATGAAGATTCTGAAGGTATAGAATAAGTGTATCACGTATAACACTTCCTGAAACCCTTTTGAATTACAATTTGCCAACATCGCACATAAATGACAATTTATTGAACATAGTAGAAAAAGTTTATACTTACGAGCTTACAATATAGCTGCTAAAAACTCCTTGTGATGGAATAGGGCCAACCAAAAAATTGTTGGACACATTGCTTTAGGAATTCAATATGATCAACAAAGATCAGTTCAAATTCAATAAATCATAAAGTAAACGCAGCAAATACCCATTTTTAGAAGCTAAACAATTTTGAAGCAAGTGAACTAACAATGTAACGAGCTTATCTAGCATTCCAATTGAAGGAGGGATAGATCCACTGAGAGAGTTGCTTGAGATATCCCTGCAGTTTTGAAAAACACTGTAAGCATCATTAATCATTCCCAACACACTGCCCTTTACCATTCTAGCCCACATTTATTAGCAAAAGAAATAACTTAGCTTACAAATATTAAAGTGAAGATAAGTTCCCCAATTCACTTGGAATTAATCCACTTCAGTAATTACCCTGCAAGTATCTGTAGAAAAGAACATATTTCAGTAAAATAAAAGAACTAAGATAGGCAATTACAAAGTAAACTTTTCAGTACCAATTGCTGTTATATATCAACCACTGGATGCAGGTAGGCAACGTCTCGTATATATCTATCTAGGCATAAAATGTCAAAACCACAACCCTACTGCACATTTATCTCTATCTGTCGGATGTAGAAAGTGTTTGCCTCCTTTCGTCATACGTTTCAAACACATGCATACAAACGAACCACAATCCTCTCTGGCTATTAACGCTTGTTGTGGCTCTGTCTCGTCTCTCATCATTGTAACATTTAACTTATTCGGCTTCTCGTTTCCTGAATTAGTCCAATAAGCAATCACATCCAAGTATTTATGCAAAAGATCGGTCCATCCCCTACAAATAATATCTTTCAAAGCAGACAATGGTATGTAATTCAAACAGCTGTCATATACTACCGTCTTCAGTGATGGGAGCTGAAGCTCGACGAGAAACCAATGACGACGTTGCATAACAGGGATAAACACCTACAATATTAAATAAATAATACTTCAACTACGCACATCAAATAAATTTGATGAACACCTTTAAATATGCAAAAATAATACTAACCTTATCGACCTCCCACCACTCAGGATAAATGATAGATTTGCCATTACCTAACGCATATGAAGTGTCTCTCTGATCCTGCAAGTGAGTTGAGTGAAAAGACGAAGGCATAATAGTCTATCGCGTCTCTTTGAGTTTCTTCAATTTCCTTAAAATTAGAAGTCGTGTTACCCATGCATCAATATGTTGTTTTATAAAAAAATACATATATTAGTGAATTTAATAAATTAAAAAAATACTCAAAATCGATATAAAAAGAATATAATACTTACCCCCATTCGAAATAGCCATTGTCTTCAACCCTTAATAAACACCCCACCAAGACCGATCAAGAAACAAATGTGTATGGTCGATTTTGCATATGTCGGTGAAAGCACCCCTTGCTCCGCTCATGTAGATAAAAATCAACTGCGGTCTTAGCCCAAACGGAATTATCCTTAACTGTGTCTGGTAGTGTGCATATCTCCTGCTGAGGAATGGTACTGGCCGGTAACTGATACGAAAGCCATATTAGATCCAGCATACCGGGCACAAGAGGGGGTTTACCAATATATCTACATAGTATAGAATGTGGATTTTGAACGATGCGGGGTGGATCCTGAATGATGGGAGGGGCCTCTTGAACGATGAGAGGTGAATCCTGAAGAATGGGAGGTGGACCCTGAATAATAGTAGGTGGATCAGGCTTCCTCTTACACAATCTTGGAACTATTGGGGTGAAATGAGACGTAATGACAGGTCCACGACGTCTGATGTGTATGCAACAAAAACGATATCCATATATCTGAAGGCAGATGGTTGGTCTGGCTCAGAATTATAGTGGTTATCATGTAACATATCATTGGGCCTCTAAAAAAAAATTAATACATAAATCAGTAAATAAATAAATAATATCGAAAAAAGGTTATATTTATTGCATATTTAGTATAATATTTCTTATAAAATTAAACAAACTTACATGCTCGCGTAGAATACACACCTCATTATGCAACGATGAAATAATCTCACGTAGGGCACCTACCTCATCACGTAAAGCACCATTTTCATCACGTAAAGCACCTACCTCATCACGTAAAACACCATTGTCATCACGTAAAACACCTATCTCACCACGTAAAGCACCTACCTCATCACGTAAAGCACCATTGTCATTACGTAAAACACCGACCTCGTCACGTAAAGCACCTACCTCATCACGTAAAGCACCTAACTGATCCCGTGGAGGTGAAGAACGCGGAGATAAATATCATGGCATCTTTGTCGGTCGCCTAACATGAGGTGTCGGTGTCAAGGTGTAGAGTCGACTGGAGGTGATGGATCTCAGTGTCGAGGTGTAGAATCGGCTCGATGAGGTGATGGATCTCGATGCCGACGTGGAGAATCGACTCGATGAGGTGATGGATCTCGGTATCGAAGTGGAGAATCGACTCGATGAGGTGATGGATCTCGATGTCGAAGTGGAGAATCGGCTCGATGAGGTGATGGATCTCGGTGTCGAGGTGAAGAATCGACTCGATGAAAAAGTGGGGGTGCTCATCATCCGTCCCATCAAAAAAACGCCTACTAGCTTGCCACCAATCAGTGGCAACCTCAGCCTATGTGGGTATCAATATCTGTAATGGATAGTTTGCCTCCAATCAATATAAAAACCCAAATAAAGTCAAACGTCTACTAGTAATAAATTGTTTATATATATATATATATATATATATATATATATATATATATGTGTGTGTGTGTGTGTGTGTGTGTGTGTGTGTGTGTATGTACACCCAATAGACACCAATTTAAATAAGTATTTGTGTTTACTTACATCATCGATCGTCATATATGGTAGTATCTCATCTCAATCCAAATGACGAATCCTCTTCCAAGTAATAGCCCTAGGAATATCATTTGAATTCTTGATGGCATAAGTACGCATGCTGGGAAATGCCTCAAATACCCAAATCTACAATATAATACACAAACATTAATTTTAGTAATTGTTAAATAATTAATTTTGGAAACATTATATATTTCTTACCTTAAAGGACCAAATAAAGCCTACCAAAGTGTATTTGGAACCATGCCCATGCAAACTAGGATGATCCTCAAAGGCAGATGACAATTTTTTCCAAGTAGCTTTCCATATATATGAATCCCACGGAAACACGTTCCATGCATCTAGGTCATCTACCAATAATACTAAATCCTTACAAATAGGTTGTATTCCCTGCTTTACTAAAACACTGGCATACAAAAGTAACAAAAGGCATACTCGGACAACATCAAGGTCATCAATCCAAGTAAAATTATCTTTAAGAAGTAATCTGCTCAAATTATCGACGTGTAAAGTGGCCATCACCTTTGCCAGGTTAGGAAAAACCCGAATAACCATGATGGGGTGGCGATATGACTAGTGTACGGACCTAATTCATCGTGTCGTCCGAAACGTAGACCTGTGACCAAGCAAAACTCCTCCCGCCCAAAACGAGTATACGCCGGTGGAAAATGAAACCATATCTCCTCATCGCCACGTGATATCCCCTCGGGTAGATCATTAGTCATGGTCTGTAGAAACAAATGAGTCAACAAAGCATCTCCACTTGGATGTTGTACTTTCAACCATGGCCCGAAACAAGTATTCTCAAACAAATTTCTTTGGACATGTGTAAGTGTCGATGCAATTATAGTGGCTAGGCTTAATTTATTCCTTAAAGTCAATGCAGTCGGAAAAAAATTCCTAACAAAAACAATAAAAATACTAAGTTATACACTGAAAACAGACATGATATTAAACAGAGAAAATATAGATATCTTATCTAATCTTAATACTATTAAACCAAATATGATATTAATCCAACCTAGCCCGGTATTCACCCAAGTCATTATTTTATCATAGTTCAACAAATGCATCAGATAACATTCTAGAAGTAAGCATAAGTATAAACAAAAAGAACAACATATAGGTTTAGTGCAGGTTCAAGGTCTCTCAGCATAAGTGTTGAGCGTAGAAGTGCTTAAGCATCGAAAATTTATTTATTTCAAGAAAATCGAATTCGAAACTCAAAAATCGAATTCGCAATTCGAAACTTAAATTCGCAACACGAAAATCGCAACTCGAAAAATGAAAATCGCAACTCAAAAATGAAATTCGCAACTCGAATTTCATTTTCGAGTTGCGATTTTCGTTTTCGAGTTATGAATTTCATGTTCGAGTTGCGATTTTCGTATTGCGAATTTAAGTTTCTTGAAATAAACAAATTGTTCTCAAGCTACAAGTTGGTTGAAGATGAATAAACTACGCTTCTTATGCAAATTGAAGCTTGAATGAAGTGCATTACTTTAACTAAAAAACAAAGGGCGATGTCATAATGTAAGTCTATTTACCAAATACTAACTTCACAGACTTAAAGACTAAACAACTGTTTAGCAGTATTGGCAGCAACCAAATGAATTTACTAAACAATCTAAGTGAAATGGTTAATCTATCTATATTATATGTAAAATATTATATTGAATTTAACTTACGAGTAAATTTAACATCAATTTAAATATGAAAATGATTAATTATCTAATAATAATACAAAAATTTTAAAATATAAATTAAGAAAACTAACTCTTGGTGGTTGATTTTTCATTTGTGGCCGTGAATGGTTGTGATAGGGTGGCTGTGAGAGATGTAGATGGAGGGAGTCGTCGGAGATGGGGACGAATATCGCCAGAGAGAGTAAGAGATGGAGATGAGATTGAGTTGCGATTTAGGGGTTTAGGTTATGAGTTGCAATTTAGGGAATATACCAAAAACATTTATGTTGCGAAATTAAAAGATGAGTTGCGAAATTTAAATACGCGTTGCGCGTTGCGAATTCGAAAATCGAGTTGCAAAAGCAAAACTCGTGTTGCGAATTTAAAAATCGAGTTGTGAAACAGAAATTTATGTTGCGAAAATGTCAAATTCGAGTTGCGAATTCTACTTCTGTATTGCGAATTCCAAATTCGAGTTGCGAATTTAGAAATTGTATTGCGAAATTGGCTTTCGTATTGAGAATTCGAAATTGAGTTACGAATTCGTTGGTTAATTTTGCAAATCCAAAAAAAATTAGTTAAAATCGTATATTATAAGACAATTTCGGTCTCTAAGTTATTTTATCTTTTTTTTTAAAAAGAAAAAAAACAATTTAATTTCTGAAGGCTAAAGATTTTCTTCTAGGTCCAAATTAGACATCCAGCAGCTTCCATTTGAAGTGTTGGGAAGGTTGAACCGATCCGGATCCGAGTATCCTTAATGCCCCCTGGAATTCACCGGTTCCCGTCGCCTCACCTTCATACCCTATCCCGATTCCCCACCTAAACCCCAAAGCAACCACATCCTTAGTTGAATAAACCGTAACCCAGGTTTTAGGGTTTCTTATACGCATACAAACTCGTAATTTTTTCTCAATTGTTTCAATTCCAATTTCTGTTCATGTTTTGATTACCGTTGTTACTGATTATCATTATTATTTTATTGTGATTTTAAAGTTTGATGGACTTGTCATCTCAATCGACGGATACCTCATCGATCCTCTCTTTAGGGCTAGTATCTCCGTCGCCATCTTCCCACCGGAGCCAGATCGCCGATGATCCCGTTACCCTTCATCTGGGAACCAAGGACTCCACCCACCACCCTACCCGACCGGTTCCTCTCCGGCTCCTCGAACCGCACCAAAACGGGAACCCGATAGAAAGGGAGAGGAGCCACGACGACGACAATGAAGAGAGTAGGGAAACCGAAGAATTCCATATATTAGGACATCCCATGTGTCTCAAAAGGCGGAGAGATAGCTGCTCTTCTTCATCGTCGCCCTCTTTGTTGAAACGAATGACGCCGGAACTGGGTCTCGAGACCAGAAAAGCGGCCGTGAAATCGTGGGGTAGCCAGCCGCTCCACGTGGCAGATCCTGACATGTTTGACATGATGGAACAGGAGAAAAAGAGGCAGTTCATGGGAATCGAGTTGATAGCCTCTGAGAATTTCGTGTGCCGCGCCGTTATGGAGGCCCTTGGAAGCCATTTGACCAACAAATACTCCGAAGGGATGCCGGGAGCAAGGTATTACGGTGGGAATCAGTACATAGACGAAATCGAAACCCTTTGCTGGAAACGTGCATTGGAAGCTTTTGGGCTTGATGCCGAGTGCTGGGGTGTCAATGTGCAGCCTTATTCGTGCACATCGGCCAATTTTGCGGTTTATACCGGACTGCTATTACCCGGAGATAGGATCATGGGATTAGATACGCCATCCGGAGGGAATACGAGCCATGGTTATTATACCCCAAATGGGAGGAAAGTTTCTGGGGCAACTATATTCTTTGAGAGTTTGCCTTATAAAGTGAATCCTCAAACTGGGTATATTGATTATGAGAAATTGGAGGAGAGGGCACTTGATTTCAGGCCCAAGATACTAATCTGTGGTGGTAGTTCATATCCCAGGGAGTGGGATTATGCAAGGTTTAGACAGATTGCTGATAAGTGTGGTGCTGTTCTGCTGTGTGACATGGCTCAGATAAGTGGACTTATTGCTGCCAAGGTGTGATATACTGTGAATCACTACTGTTTAATAGGTGCTTTGCTTTTATGGGGTCAGTTTTGTGTGTCACTAATGATGGAATTCATTTACATTGCCTTGATGTGGTTCCATGGTGGACCAACACTAAATGTACTGTTATCGACTATTCCATTTTACTGTTTGACTTAAAATTTGTCACCAATCTACTTAATGCGCCTTTGTTTTCTGAATTTCGTAAAGCTAATCTTTTAGAGGACGATTTGTGCTGTTGACTTCTTTAATATAGAAGGTGGTTTCTAAGGCAACTAATATTAACATAAGCAACTTCAAACTAGGGCCTACTGGTGTAGTGATTCTGGAACTGGTAATGAAGAAGTTTGTAAATGGAGATATTATTTCTACTTTGCTTGATGCGAATGCACTCTTTGAGTTTTTAGTTTAGCCATTACCTATTGGAGGTATGTTAGAAATGGGAACTAATGAATTGACTTCATTTCTGGACATGGCGATCAAATATTAATTTATCATCATTGGATTCTGGTATTGGTAATGGAAAAATTTATAGATGGAGATGGTCTTTCTAGTTTGTTTGATTGAAATGCACTCTTTTAGTTCTTTTTGTTTTATCATTATTGGCTTGTTAGAAATGGGAAATAATGACTAACTTTCATTATTTGGATATGCCTATGAATTTCTATCTTCTTTTCAGGTTATTGATTTTCAAAAATTTCACGATAGCTGTAGCTTTTTAGGAAATGAATCCCAATAATAATTTGAAAATTTTACAGGAAGCTGCTAATCCCTTTGAATACTGTGACATTGTTACCTCTACCACCCATAAAAGCCTCCGAGGTCCCAGAGGAGGTATAATTTTCTATAGGAAGGGTAAAAAGCCAAGGAAGAGCGGAATGCATCTAAGCCAAGGAGATTGCAACGAGCAATATGATTTTGAGGAAAAGATAAACTTTGCTGTTTTTCCATCTTTGCAAGGCGGACCACATAATAATCATATTGCTGCTCTTGCCATAGCGTTGAAGCAAGTTGCTACACCAGAGTACAGGGCCTATATGCACCAAGTGAAGAAAAATGCTCAGGCTTTAGCATCTTCATTGTTGAGAAGAAAATGCAAGCTAATTACTGGAGGCACAGACAATCATTTGTTACTCTGGGATCTAAGACCTTTTGGGTTGACAGGTAGAATGCTTTGTTGGCAATCTTCTTTGCATTCAAATAATTGTTAGTGTATGATATGAAGTTGAACCTAAATGTGTTTTGCATTCAAACATACTGTTTGTCTGTTGCTAATGTTAACTGTCTTGGTTTAATTAACTGAGGGATTCGTTATCATGCTTCTGGTAATTTGTTCTTGCAGGGGATGTTTTAATGGCCTGTAAGAGACTACTGTATCAGTATGGGATGTATTAACTAATTTGATTCCCTCTTTCTGCCTTCCCTTCTATTTGATGGTTTCCTTTTGGGGATGGACAGCTGTTTGCTGTTGTCTAGTGACCCAAAGTAAAAAAGTTATTACTCATATTTAGTCCGGGAATATATTTTATCGACTCTCCCTAAGTCTTGCATATATGTATGTGTGCATGTAGAACTTTTGTACAGTTTTGTTACGTCTTGTGATTGGAGTGCGATTGCCAAATACCAAAATTGTTCAAGTTATAAAAGGAATTCAAATTTCAAAGTCAGTTCATTCTGCTTCTGCCTCTGTTACACGCATGTAACTTGCACATTTTCATTTGTTCCTGTAGATTTATCTGTTGGCAACATGTCGTGCAGGAAATCTCTGTTGGTTGCTGGAAATTTGATTACATATCCCTACTCTCTTCCATGTCCTAGAATGTCTAATCTTCTGGTTTTCCTTTTGTAGGTAAAGTTTACGAGAAGGTGTGCGAGATGTGCCATATTACCCTGAACAAAATTGCTATTTTTGGCGAGAATGGTGTCATTACTCCTGGTGGAGTAAGGATTGGTGAGTGTAGTTCTCATTCAATTAAAACTTGTAAGTTTCTTTACCTTTTATAGGGGATGTTTAGGTTCATATTATCATGACTTGGCATGTTTATTTCTGCAGGTACTCCCGCCATGACATCGAGAGGTTGCCTAGAGTCTGATTTCGATACAATCACAAACTTTCTCCTCAGAGCTGCACATATCGCTAGCACGATGCAGCATGACCATAAGCTGCAGAAGACCTCCGTGAAGAGCCTCCTCGAAAATAAGGATCTTTTGGAGCTCCGGTCACAAGTTGAGGCGTTTGCATCTCAGTTTGCAATGCCAGGCTTTGACATTTGAATGAATTGTTAATGTGCCTTCATACCGAGCGACTAAAATTCCAATTACTCTGCAGAGGAGGAACTGTGGGGGAGGGTTATTTTTCCTGTAACCAGCTTGCACCATCATGTTTTTTTCTGTAACGGTGCCTGGAAACATTGCGCAATTTTGATAATGACGGTGCTGATTTTTTTTGAATTGGATTAAAGATCATTATCACTTTTGGTCAAGTTGTGAAGAACTAGTCCTCCTCTAGACAAGGATTCCAGTTTTGTGGATGAAAAATGTATAATGAAAAAAAGTTCGATGTCTTTTGTTTTAGGTTTAAATTTTGAGGATGAAAAGTTTAACTCGACTTTGGATATATATTTTAAAGTTTAAATGTGTGTACTTTGAAGATAAAATTGTCCGAATTCATATTCTCTAGAGAGAGAGAGAGTTCTCTCGTTTCAATCCATGTAACTTGTATTTGGTTTGTTAGTTATTTCTAATATTATTAGTAAATGTATAAATATATTTTAAAATCAAATAAAAAATACGATTCTTCTAATAAACATTTCTAATATTGTTGATAATTTCATGTATAAGGATAAACATATCCCTGATTATGCGAGGATTGTAATTTACAATTGTACTGACTCTGCTATCCTTGTGGAAAATGCACGCTACTGAAGGAGCATTAATCTTTTCAAGCAACTCTTACAACATGATGGTGATTCATTAGTTATTCAACGATGAAGAGCTTATCATTATCTCTGCTCACTTCAATGCAATCGATTTCAGCCCCGGCTTCATCAGTAATATCGCACTTTTCATATCGATCCCCATTTTTTTCCCTGAAGAAATGAATCAAGTTAGTTGCTTTACAAGTAACTGTATCGTAGATGACAAGTTTCATTTGAGCTTGAGTTTTCAAACCAGCAATGTCCTTGAGCTCTTCAAATGAATCTGGCAAACTTATTAGCTTCCCAGTCTCCATAAAACAAGTTTCTTTCCCCATCAGTGGGTGACCTTTATAAATGCCCACCCTTGGACGGTCCAGTATTCTGTTTTTCTCTAGTTTGCCTACAGGCACCCCTTGGAGTTTCTCCAGTACTACTTCACTGGAAGTCGTCTCGGTTACTGTAATCCGGTGTCCAATCTCTCTCTTTAGCAGCATTTCATTCAACGATTCTGAAGAAAATTCGTATGTGTTTGCATTGATGACATCTGCGCCATTCATCACAAGTAGGTTAACCATCTCTTCATGTTTCTCTTTCATGGCAATCTGTAATGCCGTTAGTCCATGGCGATCCTTTGCATCCACGTTCAATCCCTGTTTCAATAGTTCTTGCATCGCTGCTTGATCGTTTCTTTTCGCAGCCATGCATAAGAGGTCATCGGCAGTGAAGGAAATAGCAGCACAATGATACAGGATCCTAAATATGGAATGGTGCTCGTGGATATCGCGTCCCATTGTGCGGTGTTGCCATCTATATCTGTCACGTATACAGAATAACGAGATGCGGCACAAGAACTCGATCGATTCTCTCATCAACGGTGTTAACATCGTATCGGACCTCGTAAATGTACATTGCAAGCATGCTTGAGGAGTACCAGCACACAATCTTCATGCCCTCTTGATGCTGCTATGTGCTGAGGAATCACACACAGACTAATGCATGAACATTCTTCTAAACATCTTGACCAGAAAGGTGAACAAGAAAGAAGCATACCAAGGGTGTTCTTCCGTTAGAATCTCCAATGTCAGGGTCCAACCTTGCTTTGAGAAGCTCATCGAGGAAAGCTGCATTGCCGATATCGGCCATGTTCATCAAATTAATACCGATGTCTTTCGGATCACCGTCTTCGTCTCCACTCTCCACTACTAAGCCTCCAATTTTAAGATCCTTTAGCCTTTTGTTATGCTGCAATACAACACAGGTTCAATCTTTTAGTCCTTAACTAGATTTTTTGAACGAGTACTCCGAAAACGGATACAGTACATGTTTGACATACCTGAAGGAAGTTTAATTTTAAGGACAGTAACATTATCTTCTTGTTTGGTCTGCATGGATTCGATCAGATTGGTCGTTCTGAGCTTCAATAGTTGAGAAAGCGTCCTAGTTCGGAACAAAAATCTTTGAGGTCTGCAACAAAGCGCACCGATTTCTCTGAACATGTCCCCGGAATGAAGCATTCCGATGACTATCTCTTTCTCCATCTCATAGTCAATGATTTCCACTTCTCCAGACACAATGATGTAAAAACCATCTGGTGCTTCATTCTGCATTATCACATCCTCTCTCGGCGGAATGTATTCGGCTTTCATATTCGCGACCTGAACATTATATCGAACACGCCGACGTTAATTTCCGTATGCTATAAACGAATAATAACCATTACCAAGAATAGTATGCACACCATATGCAGCAGAATTTCCATTGATATGCCATTGAAAAGGTACACTTTCTCCACTGTTGGCAAGAACAAATGCCTGTATAAATCGATTTCGGCAGCTGTTTGATGAGTTGTTGCTGGTTCAAGCTCTCAGCCTTGAACCTTAAACACATGTAAGCCAGTATCTGTTCTTTCAGCCTCGGGGGCAGCCAGTTTCTCGATATGAAATTCGAAGCGGCTTCGATACTATTCCTCTGCATCATCAACCGGTAATTTAAGTAAATGTGGTACTTATACAATGTGAATTGTTCAAACAGTGGTAAGTACTTATGAATTCCATGGTCTGACGAGTTCCTGCAACGACTAAGTTGGTCATGTTACCAAGTATATAAGCGGTCAAGACGAGGTTGAAGAGCATGTAGAAGATTATGAAGATCATTTCCATAGTGTTGACTGCATGGAGGTCACCATAACCAACAGTGGTCATGGTGGTGATGGACCAATATAAAGCCGAGATATATCGGATCGAAAGGCTCGTTTCCCGGAAATTCGGGTTCACCGACCCTAACCATGTTCCCCCCGGTGTGGGTATCGGTGAGCTAGCAGGTAGTAAAGGCATACAGCACAATTAACCAGAAATAATGTCACCTGCAGTAGCGTATCCAAAACGAATGTAATCAACTTAAATTTCATCACTTGCCTTAGATTCAAAATTAATCTCTAAACTTGAAAATATTCTGATTAAGTCCCCAAAATATCAGTTTTGTATCAATCAAGTCACTCCGTCAGTCTATACATTAAATATTAAAGCACGTGTGCCTACATAAGTGGTAATCAAATTTACAAAAATAAATAAATAAATAAATAAATAAAGAAATCGAGGATTATTATTTTCTTCAATACAAGGATTCAAACTGTTCATGCAATAAGTTTACATGTATTTATAATTTGGTCCACCTATTTTAAATAGAGAAAATAACTTCAGTGACCAAAAATCCCATATAATATACGATTTTAACCAACTTTTTCCGGATTTGCCAAAATGACCAACAAAATCGCAATGCGATCGCTAATTCGCAACGCGATCTCCATTATCGCAAATTCGCGTTGCATTTTCGCAATGCGATAGTTGAAAATCGCGTTGCGATGGTCTACAGTATCGTTGCGATTTTCCCAATTCGCAATGCGAATAAGTAAATCGCAACGCGAATTGGGAAAATCGCAATGCGAATAAGTAAATCGCAACGCGAATTGGGAAAATCGCAATGCGATACTGACTTTCGCAATGCGATAATAAAAAATCGCAACGAGATACTTACTTTCGCAACGCGATACTGACTTTTGCAACGCGATAATACATAATCGCAATGCGATTTTCAAAGCGCCATTAGTATCCTGGCCAAGTATTTTATTTTTAAATTCCAAACATGAATATTAATATATTGGAACACTGAACTGTCCACAGTATATCCCGTAATCGCAACTCATAACCTAAAACCTAAAATCACAACTCAGTCCCATCTCCATCTCTCACTCTCTCACCCATCTCCGACGAAATCCGTCCCCATCTCCGGCGAAATCCGTCTATCTCCATCTCTCAGAGCCACCCTCACAATCAGAAATGGAAAATCAACCAAATCAACCAACGAGGGTTAGTTTTTTAATTATTTTCTTTTTGAAAATTTTGCATTATTATTAGGTTTTTCATATTGAAATTGATGATAAGTTTACTGGTAATTTCAATAATAGATTAACCATTTCACTTAGATTGCTTATTAAATCAACCAAGAATCGCAACGCGAAATGCAAATCGCAACGCGATTTTAGTTTCGCGTTGCGAATCTCTCGTTGCGATAGTCATTTTCGTGTTGCGGTTTTCATTTTCAGAAACAATTCTTCTTCTGCAAATTGAAACTTGAATGAATTGCATTACTTCAACCAAAAAACAAAGACAAATACGAAATTCACAGTGTTGCATATTTAAGTTTGATGAATAAACTACTACTATTTATGTTTATTATTGTTTTTGGTATATCTTCACAGTGTAGTTTTTGGTATATCTAATTTAGTATGTTATTGTTTTTGTAGAACTTTTATTCGGCTCAATTGACCTTGAGAAATAAAGTCAGCCTGGCCAAAACAATTGCGTCGAAGCTTTCACCTGCACAAAGAAAAATGTTTGAGGATACATGCTTCGGGCCATGGCTGAAAGTACAACATCCCGGTGGAGATGCGATGTTGACACACCTGTTTCTTCAAACCATGACTAGCGATCTACCAGAGACTATACAACGTCGTGATGAAGAGATATGGTTTGATTTTCCACCGGCGTATACGTGTTTTGGGCGGGAGGAGTTTTGCTTAATCACCGGTCTACGCTTTGGACACGATGATGTAGGTCGGTACACTAGACACATTACCCGCCCATCATGGCTATCCCGGGTTTTTCCTGAGCTGGAGAGGCCGAGTCTACACGTAGAAGACCTGACAAGATTTTTGAATAATAAAGATGGTTTTACTCGGATGGATGACGTCGACGTTGTCCGAGTATGCCTTCTAATTCTTTTGCATGCAGGCTTTTTAGGCAGAGAGGCCAGACAACCTATTCCAAATGATCTAATCAAATTGGTAGAAGACCTAAATGCGTGGAACATGTTTCCGTGGGGCTCGTATTTATGGAAAGCTACATGGAATAAGTTATCGTCTGCCTTGGATGATCGAAAAAGTTTGCATGGCGATGGTTCCAAATACACTTTGACAGGCTTTATTTGGGCCTTTAAGGTAAGAATTTTTATATGATGTTTCCAAAATTATAAGTAATTATTTAACAATTACTAATGTTTGTTATTATATTGTTTGTAGATTTGGATATTTGAGGTCTTTCCCGCCATGAAGACATATGCAATAAAAACTTCAAATGATATTCCCAGGGCTATTTCCTGGAAGAGGAAACGGACCTTGCAATGGGAAGATTTACTACGGTATACGACAATAAATAATGTAAGTTAACATAAATACTACCATATGTTTATAAACAAGTTATTACTAGTACACGTTTAACTTTGTTTGAGCTTTTATATTGTTAGGAGGCCAACACTCCTCTACAAAGGCTGACACCCACGGAAGCTGAGCTTGCCACTGATTGGTGGCAAGCTAGTAAGCGTTTTTTTGATGGAACGGTTGATGAGCAGCCTCCACTTCGGGAGCCATCACCTCGCCCAGAGCTATCACCTCACCCAGAGCCATCATCTGATCGACCTGGCTATACACCTCCACAACGACAGCCATCACCTATTCTGTCACATCATCAAGCCTCTTCTCCACCATCACCGCAAGATAGGCGACCGGCAAAGATGCCACGACGTTTATCTCCCTGTTCTCCACCTCAACGGGATGAGTTAGGGGAGTTACGTGATGAGGTCAATGCCTTGCATGAGGAGGTCGGTACTTTACGCAAAGACGATGATGCATGGCGTATTGAGGTATCTACATTACGCGGTGAGGTAGCCGCTCTACGTGAGATGGTAGCATCGTTGCAGAATGAGGTTCATACTCTACGCAACGAGGTAAGTTTAAGATTTTTCATACTCGTAATTCATTCGGTTGCTGCCAATACTGCTAAACTGTTTTTGTTAGTATTTGTTTTTGGTTTTGTTTTTGTCTTTTGGTTGAAGTAATGCGATTTTCATTTCGCGTTGCGATTTTGTCGTTGCGATTTCATTTCGCATTGCGATTTTGTCGTTGCGATTTTCGTTTCGCATTGCGATAGCCATTTCCGCGTTGCGATAGTCATTTCGCGTTGCGATTTTAAGTTTCGTGTTGCGAAAGTAAACTATTCTTCTTCTGGAATGTTTATATATGTTGTCCTTTTAAATGTTTATATAAGTGCTTACTTCTGGAATGTTATCTGAGCATTTTGTGAACTATGATAGAATAATGATTTGGGTGAATACAATGCTAGTTTGAAACATATTTGTCTTTGTTTAATATCATGTCTGTTTATTTACTGATTTATGTATTAATTTTTTTTAGCGGCCCGATAAGGTGGATGCTTTACGTCGGGTTTTCCTTGCACGACGGAGTTCACGCATCAGACGGCGTGGACGTGCTATTACGCCTCCGTTCACCCCAATGGTGCGAAGACTCCGCAAGAAGAAGCCCGACTCACCGATCATCCCTCAAGAGTCCCCTCCAATCGTTCAAGAGGCCCCTATTCTCCCTCAAGATTCCCCCCCCACCGTTCAAGAGGCCACTGTCATCGTTGAAGAGGTCCCTCCCACCATTTCAGAGCCCGATTCATATGGGGTAATATATCGAAGTATTGAGAAACCCCCACCGGTTCCGGACATGATGGATGAGAGTTGGCTCTCGTATGAGTTACCGGCTAGTACCCTTCCGGTATCTGAAGTGGAGAGGAGACAACTACCGGAAGCAATTGTGGATAATACCCTTTGGGCTAAGACCACAGTTGATTTTTATCTACATGAGCGGAGCCAAGGGTGTTACACTGACATCAGCAAACTCAACGATGAAATGTTTTTGTTGCTTGATCGGTCTTGGTGGGGTGTGCTATTAGGGGTTGAAGACAGTGGCTATTTGGATGGGGAGGTAAGTCTTATATTTGTCTTATATATGATTTTGATTAATTTGTTTAAAAATTAATGTAATTCACTAATATATGTATTTTTTTGTAAAACAGCATATCGATCCGTGGGTGTCACGTCTACTAATAATAAGGAAGCTTAGGAAAAATAAAAAAAAATTCGCTATATACAATAATGCCGACGACTTTTCACGCAGTTCACTTGAAGAATCAACGAGATGAATCATTTTTGTTGGGCAATGGACAAGCTAAACTTTATCCTGCATGGTGGGAGGTCGATAAGGTTAGTGTTTATTTTTTAAATTTTTTAAAGGTGTTCATAAATAAGTGTGCAAATAAATGAATTATTACTTATGATCACAGGTGTTTATCCCTGTTTTGGAACGTCGTCACTGGCTTCTCGTCCAACTTCAGCTCCCATCCCTGAAGATAATAGTGTATGACAGCATGATCAATTACATATCACTGTCTGATTTGAAAGATATTTTCAAGGGATGGAGCTCTCATTTGGCTAAATTCTTGGATGGGATTAA